TTTTCTGTAAATGATCTTGAGGCAACTGAAGTATAAAAATTCCTTTCTTGAACCCTAGCATATGATGGGGATTGCTATGAATCGGAACCAAACAACAATGAGCTTATCTTGGAGTAGGATTCTTTAAGTCCTTTGGCTGTGAGTGTCTTGTAAATTTTTCCTGTCTCAATTTTTTGTTATAGAACTTGACTCACAGTAATAAGAACCACCTAGACTCTGAGGGGGAGTCATGAATTGTGGTGTGAGATGATGAGCTTTAGAAAATGTTTCATCAAAGAATATCAAGAGTCAAATGTTCAGATTTAATTTCTTTTATTTGTTATGTACAATGCTGACACCATACTTACTACTCAAATAGAAGGTGAAAGTAAAAATAATTCAGATTATGATGATTATGCTTTGCTGCGTTGGCACAGTTTACATAATACTTAAGGAAATAGAATTACCTGGAAGGAATTGCCTGATGTCAACTTAGTTAAGATTCTTCTAAGAAACTGGTAATTAAAGAAAATGTAACTTAAAACAAATCTTCCCAAACAGAATACAATACACTTTACAGCCAACTCAGGCTTGTTGTAAGTCTGCTAGCTGCTAAAGAGAGGTGTGTGCTAGATTTTTACGAAGTTTTAAAAATGTATTAAGATAGTTTTAACAGGCTACCTATGAAAGAGCAATTGGATGGACATTTAAATGGAAAGAAAGTCTCTAACAGCTTTAAAATGCAGAGGAACCAACAGCTTCAATTTGCCATAATGCACACATCTGGATAGCATTTGGAATAAACAGGGACTTCTGAGACATTGGGACAAGGGATTTACCTTTTTGTTCCTGGAGTCAAAAGCAAAATTCACACCTCCTTACCCATCCACCCCTCTACCTCCAGCCCAAGAAAAAGGGCTGTGGTTCTCATTTCCTTTAATGGGCTTGGCCACATTTGTTGCATCCTCTACTGTATGCTGGACCGGGCTAAGTCCTCTCTGTCTCTGCCTAGGGAGAAAGCCAGCAAGGAGGAAGTGATTTGTCTAGGGCCATCTGAAGTTAATGAGTGCCTCTCAGCTGCTGGCCTTCAAGCTTTCCTAACAATATGCAGACTCTCTCACTCTGGAAAGAGTCACAGCTCACCTCAGGCTACTGGTGGGCACTTTATTCTAGTTCTGTTGCTTGCCTACAACAGCAGGCCTCCTTGAATGGTCAGAGTTTGGCCTATGCAGACTTGAACCATCCATGAATGCTCAGCCAGGTAATTTTTTTTTTTTTATGTGGAAACATTGGGTTCTGGTTTAAGTCAAGTAATGTGTGGTGACCCCTGAACATGAAGACATGACTCATTAGCTATTATGAAGAGCTTTCTGACCAAGACAGTGAGGAAAGCTATCAGTTAAAGGAAGTAGTGTCCCAACAAGTCTTTCTGAGGTAGCCGTGAATAATCATGCAAACGTCCAAATCAATGATAGCACCGAGTTGAATGAAATGGGACAGAAGATCTCAGTGGGCTGAGCTCATCTATTGGGCCTGAGGTGACCAGAGTCCAACAGTCCAGTCCATTTGAGACTCCAGAGTAAAACTTGACAGATGAGCAAAAGGGTCTTCCTTCTTCAGACCATTCAGGGTTTGTGAGGTGACTGCTGTGAGAAAGAGGGGAGGGCAAGGAGCAAAGTGGCAGGTGCCGCCTTACAGACTTTTCATACACACCTGGCAGCGGCTGACTCGCGTATGGAGCTGTCCAGCTTTCAGCGTTTCAGACACAGGTTCATCCTCAAACAGCTGGCTCTTCTCCACTGTTGTCAGCCAGAAGCTGTACTTGTTGGCAAAGTAATGGCAGGTGCCCCGGGCGCCACTGCACTCAATGAAGGGAGTGGCCCGAAAGTCCTCTAGGCAGGAGCCAGGTGACACCAAGGACTGGCCTCCACCCTCAGCCCCAGCTGCAGTGTGCTGAAACAGATAGGAGGAGGGTGATGTTTGAGCTGTGCCTGTCAGGGGCTGGCATGGGCGGAGGAGGGGACACTTGGCTGCTACAGAAGGGATAGACATGTATGCTTCCGTTTGTAAGTACTGGTTCCTTGGTTCAGCTCCAGCATCTAGCCAGCATACCAAAAGTGGTGTATTAGGAGAGGGGCTGCTCATCCTCCCTCATAGCAGCCTTCAGAGCCAGGAGGGCCCCCTCCAAGCTCCCTAACTAGCTGCCACTGAGTCAACTCCAACTCACGGCAAACTCCCATGTGTACATGTCAGAGCAGAACTGTGCTCCACTGGCTGTGCAGTGGCTGATTGTTTTCAGAAATAGATCACCAGACCTTTCTTCCAAGGTGCCTTTGGGTGGACTTGAACCTCCAACTGATAGGATAGCATGTTAACTGTTTGCACCACCCAGGGACTCCCCAAGCTCCCTAGTGCCCTCCTAACCCATTATGTATGGTCAATGGCTACATCGAATCCAGCATTTCTCAAACTGCTGCTTCTCCTTGTGTTTGGAGGTGTGTTAGGTGCCAACCCCCCCCCCCATGGACAAATAAATCTGGGAAAATTTGGCTTAAGGAAAATTCAGTAAATTTCTGAACTTGCAATTCTTCTCAGAGTTCAGTGTTGAATATGTATTGTACTCTAAGAAGGGGAAAGGACATGCAGTATTTCACAGAGTAAGAGCTATTGCTAGGTATGCTGGGGTATTTGACCTAAAAGTCCCAGCAGGCCTAGCTTCAGAGAGCTTCTTCAGCATGAGATTTCAGGATTTCCCCATTATTACCAACCACTGAGCCCAGAGTCTGCAATCACTCTACCCATAGACAGAAGCCCCATCTCTCCACACCCCTAACCCACTCCCTTCACCTTAGCTGGATTATTGTCTGGACTACAGAGGTGGGGAAGAGGCACATCTGGGTCAGCAAATGGCCAAATGGAACAAATGCCCATTTTGGATACACAGGGAAACCTTACTTTGCAGAACTTTTGCAGAGTGAGAATCTCCATATAAGTGATTTTTCCTGATAACTGAAGCATCCAAGCTTCCCCCATTTTGACCCTCAGATAGAAAACTTCCCAAAATCAATAATACATTTCCCTCCCTTATTACACTGCAGATGCTGTGTATTTTGAACTTTTTAAGATGACGCGGAGTTGTCATTGTGAACATCAGTTTTTGTGTCGGGTGATTGTGCAAGGGCCCCATACCAAAGGCCATAGGTTTTAAACCTATTTGGATTCGTTTTCTCCTTTTTAGCAGGCATGTCTCATTGCTTCAACACACCTTACTAAGCAGTCCAACTCCTCCCCCCTTCACGTTTTCAGGTAAAGTAGATATTTTAGTATGTTAGAATTATTTGTAAATTGAGTAAATAAGTTCTGAGCAAGGGCTTATGAGGTCTCCCATGAACAAAGTACATGAGATTTAATACATGCCTCCTTTTGGAAGCACACAGGCTTTTGCTCCTTATTTCCTGGACTTGATGATAAACAGGAAAGAATGCTAGGAGAGGTGATTCTGCATTATATTGGGATAAACTGCCTAATTCACAGACACAGAGCAAAACAAGGAAATACTTTACTCCCTGTTGTGGGTTGAATTGTGCCCTCCCAAAAGATATGTTCAAGTCCTAACCCCTAGCACCTGAGTGTGACCTTATTTGGAAATAGGGTCTTTGCAGATGTAATCAAGTTAAGTTGAGGTCATCTTAAAATTAAGGTGGGCCTTCATTCAATGACAGGAGCTCTGGTAGTGTAGTGCCTAGGGCACTTGACTGCTAACAAGAAGGCTTGCAGTTCAAACCCATCAGCCACTCCTTGGAAGGAAGATCAGGCAATCTACTTCCGTAGTGATACTGCCTCGGAAACCCAAGGAGGGGTCGCTATGAGTCAGGTCCAACTCGACAGCACATAACAACAATAACAACATTATTCAATGACAAATGTCCTTATAAAAAGATGGAAATTTGGACACAGACACAGAGGGAAGAATGTCACATGACAATGGAGGCAGAGATTGAAGTGATACACCTACAAGCCAAGGCTTGCCAACAGCCACCTTCTAGAAGCCTGATGAGACAATGAAGGAGTCTCCCCTAGAGCTTCAGAGGGAGCATGGTCCTACTCACAGGACTTCTAGCCTCCAGAGATATGACAGAATAAACCTCTGTTGTCTTAAGCCACCCAGTTTGTAGTACCTTATGCCAACCTCAGAAATCTAGTACACCCCAGGTAGGTTCACTAATGTGAAGAAGCATGAAGCTTTAGTAATTGTTCAAAGATACCCCATCACCGTTATGCTTCTGGCCTTGTACCCTTGGTCAGAGTGCTGCACTGGAGATTTAGAGTTATGATCCTTGGATTGAGCAAAGCAGCTCTGGAGAAGCAGCATCCTTCAGGGTGTGTGTGATGGTTAATGTTATATGTCAACCTGGCTCGGCTATGATTCTCAGTAGTTTGGCAGACACTATGTAATCATCTTCCATTTTGTGATCTGATGTGAGCAGCTAATCAGTTGGAAGGGGAGTTTCCTAGGGGGTGGGGCCTGCATCCAGTATATAAATGGATGTTCTGACAAAGCACATGGTCTCTCTTGATCCTGCACTCTTCTCTTCATCTGACTTTCAGTTCTTGGTATGTGAGCCAGCAGAAGCCTCTAGCCTGTAATCTGACCTGTAGATTTTGGATTCATTAGTCTCTGTAACCATGTGAACCAGCAGAGGTCTTCAGCCTATCATCTGACCCATGGATTTGGGACTTGCCAGCTACTACAGTTGTGTGAGCCATTTTCTTGAAGTAAATTCCTCTCTCTATGTATCTACATGGGAGCTTTGGTAGCGTAGTGCCTATGGCATTTGACTGCTAACCAGAAGACTGGCAGTTCAAACCCACCATCCACTCCCTGGAAGGAAGATTGGGCAATGTACTTCTGTAGAGATACTGTCTCAGAAACCCAAGGAGGGGTCACTATGAGTCGGATCCGACTCGACGGCAGTGAGTTTGGGTTTTTTGGTTTATATATCTACATATGCTTAACTAGTTTTACTCCTCTAAAGAACCCAGACTAAGGCAGGGTGCCACACTAGCTTTCCCTGGGAATTGTTCACCTGACTTTCATTTGATTAAATGCCCCTAGATACTCACTAGATATTGTGTGAGGGACTGTTATGTAAATGAGTAAAAAATGGTCTCTGTGTATTAGCCCCAAGTTGTTTACTTCATAGCAAGCTGAGGCCTATTAGCCCCCAAAAGTCTGTCAGTGCCAAACTCAAATGTGTACACAATGAACTGTTTTAAAAATAGCCCAAATAAATACATTTTTAGCCATTTAAAACCTGCCTGTTTAACATACCCCATGAAACTGTACTCACCATCTGCTAGCCCTGTTGTTGTTGTTGTTATTTGCCATCGAGTCAGACCCGACTCATAGCAACCCCTCCTTGGGTTTCCGAGGCAGTATCACTATGGAAGTAGATTGCTCAATCTTCCTTCCAAGGAGTGACTGGTGGGTTTGAACCACCAACTTTCTGGTTAGCAGTCAAGTGTCTTAGGCACTATGCTACCCCTGCAGTAATAAGGACCTTAAGGCACTGCTCCATTTAGAATTCTCTGACCCAAAGACTCCTCACCTTGCTGCTGGAGGACCTTGCCTCTTCCCCAGGGTTTTTCATGCCCTTCTGGTGGCTCCCTGTGCCTCTTTTTTTTTGGCAGACTTCTTGCTGTGGGAGATCACCTGTGCATATGGCTGTCAATGTCTTGGCCCCAATAGCATGGCCACTCCTCAGAAGGAAGGTTGGGCAATCTACTTCCATAGTGATACCACCTCGGAAACCCAAGGAGGGGTCAGTATGAGTCAGATGTGACTTGATGGCACATGACAACAACAACAACAACATCTTTTTCCTTGATCAGTCTCAAGTTCCTGCAGACTTACTACAGAGGCCTGATGCCTCCCTGGGCTTACAGATGTTCTAAGCTCTTTCATAGCAAGACACAGCACTCTTAGATACTATCTTCCCACCAAAATGGAAAGGCACCAAGAATTTCAGCAAGGACATAGAAAGCTTCCAGGGAGGAAACAGGCTGGGGGTATATAGAACAGTGAGCCACACCATGCCCAGTCTGACCAGAGAGAGTATATGAGGCCCTGAGTGTGGATGCATCTCCCTCATTGCCCACCCAGATCTTTCTGTGTTTCCACTTTCCCTTGGTGGAGTCAAGCATGGAGATGTTACGGTCTTTAGCTGTGATTCACAGATGTTCTCACCCTGAATCCCTGGGTGCAAACTGCTTCCTTCCACCCATACCCACAGTTATTTGCCATTCATGCAGAACTGGGCTCTCTGGTCTTTAGTCAAGCCCAGGCCAAACACTTTCCTTCCTTTCTAACTCCCTGCAGGTCATATAATGACTACTATGTCCCTTGATCCTGGGAGACAGACCAATGACCCTTCCAGAGTTCCCTGCCTTTTGTCTCTCCACTGGAGGAGGAGCAGTGCCAGGCCTTACCATGAGGAAGGAGTACCCAATCCAGAGGCTGCGCCAGCCCAGGGGGCACTGTGGGATGGTGACATCCTGACTGTGCACAGCAATGGCTTGCGAAGGCGCTTCACACACAGAGCAGCGGCTGATGTACTGGGGAATCTGGTTCTGGCCGACAGGCATCATGGGGATAGGCGCGGTGGTGGAGAGCCAGTAGGACTTATCATTGCGCCTGGCATAATGGCACACTTCGTTGATGTTGCAGTAGATGAAGGGCATGGTGCTGAAGCGGGGCAGGCAAGAGCCAGCAAACCCTGGCAAGGAGAGAAGGTGGGAGGGGCAGGTAAGGTCTAGCCAAGGGGTAGGGCTGGGATTATCTCCATGGTCATTAGGACTAGACTAGATAGTGGTCTGAGTTTACATCCAACTGCATCTACCAGACCAGGCAGGGTATTCCTCTCCTTTATAATCCTGTAACACTCTACCCATGCTGAAGTCTCTTGATCAAATCCTATTTTAAATGTACCAGGGAAGTTTGATAATGAAAAGAATCTTTTTATAAACTGAATAATACCTTCCTAATTAATCTGCTTTTAAAACCTGCATTGAATAGACTGCTTCTAAGGGTCAGCACACCTGTAGATAATACAACAATTAATTCTTGGATAATTATCATTGCCCTGCAGGTCCTGTTATTACTAATAATCATCACCAACATTTCATGAATGTTCAGTAGGTGCCAAACATTGTTCTAAGCATTTTATGTTTGGTGATTCTTTTTATTCTTGCACCACCCTATGAGATAGGTACTAGGATTAGCCTCATTCCATCTAGGAGGAAGCTGGAGCTTAGAGACGTTGAATAACTTGCCCAGGGTACATAGCTAGTAAGTGGTAGAGCCAGGATTTGAACCCAGATCTGCCAGATTTCAGAGCTGGGGCTCATAACCCATTCACTACAACAGTAGGCTCACTAAGGGGTGGGAGGGGAGAGTAGGTTGACTCTTGGTCCCTGAAGGGACAGATGGCTAAGGCTGACTGCCAGAGCCAGTACCTACCCAGGTCCTGGTTGTGGGCTTTCTCCTGCCCCTCCACGAACAGCAAGCTGTAACCCACCCACAGCCGGTTCATTCCAATGGGGCACAGGGGCACCTGTTCGGACTGGCTGTGCTTCACCAAGGTGTAGCCCACATTCACTCTCTGGCCAGGCATGCCAGGCCTCCCAAAGGGGCCCTGCTTCCCTGGGGCTCCTAAAAGGGAGATAATATAAAAGGGTTGAGCTGGTCAAAATCATTAAAATACTAAAGACCGACCAGGTTTACTGGTCTGATAGAGCCTGGTAAAACCCTTGAGACTATGGCCCCTAGCTACCTTTCAGGTCTGGAACAGAACTCACTCCTGTGGCTTCTAGCCAAACAATAAACAGGCATATGGGGTGAACATTTACATCAAGTAGATACATGACTAAGGAGCTCTGGTGGTGTAGCAGATAAGGCACTGGACCGCTAACTGGAAGGTCAGTGGTTCAAACCCACCAGCTGCTCCACAGAAGGAATATGGGGTGATATATTTCCATAAAGCTTTACAGCCTCAGATGGGAGCTCTGGTAGCATAGTGGCTAAGGCACTTTACTGCTAACCAGAAGGCTGGCGGTTCAAATCCACCAGCCGCTCCTCGGAAGGAAGATGGGGCAATCTACTTCCATAGTGATACTGCCTCGGAAACCCAAGGAGGGGTCGCTGAGTCAGGTCTGACTTGATGGCATATAACAACAATAACAACATTACAGCCTCAGATACCCAATGGGGGTTGCTATGAGTCAGAAATGACTCGATGGCAGTGAGTTTGGTTTGGTTTTTGGTTAGATACACTCCTTGGAGCGATCAATCATGGGAGAACAGAAGGGCAGTGTTTGCACAGGGAGATAGGTCAGGGAGGTAGGAGTGCATGGGAGAGAAAGACACAGGGAAGAGGTAACTACGGGGAGGAAGGGGGAAGAGAGCTGTTACACTGTGGGGAATTGTAGTCAATGTCATGAGACAAAATGTGTATGAAGTGCTATATGGAAAATGAATTTGCTCTGTAAACCTTCACCCAAATTACAATAAAAATAAAAAAAACATAAGGTTGAGCTGGTACCACTAATAATATCAGCTACTCACTTTGTGTTAAGTATCATACAAGACACATTGCATACACACATCATCTCAATCCTTATGACAAAGCTGAGATGGTACTATTACTATCCCAGTGTGGAGATGAGGAAACTGAAGCTTGGAGGTCACAACGCTACTTAAGTAGTGGAGCAGGGACTCCAACTAAGATGTATCTAGCTGCAGATTCCCTTTTAACAAGGATGCTATCCTGCTTTCCTCCCACAGCCACCTGGGCTTGGATTCTCTGAGTGGGGCTAAGGGGCAGAGTGAGATACTTCTCAGGTCCAATCTTGCAGGCCTTCACAGGGGAAAACGTTGTTGGGTGCTGTTGAGTCTGTTTTTGACTCACAGCAACTCCACGTGACAGAGTAGAACTGCCCCATAGGGTTTTCTTGGCTGTCATCTTTACGGGAGCAAATTGCCAGGTCTTTATTCCACAGAGCTGTTGGGTGGACTTGAACCACCACCCTTTCAGTTAGCAGCCAAGCATTTAAACATTGTGCCACTAGGGTTCCTAGAGGAAAACTAACTGCCTGGAAACTGAACCAGAAGAAAAAGCAGAGTAAGATGAAAACCAGGTGTCACTGAGTCGACTCTGACTAATAGCGACCCTATGTGTCAGAGTAGAACTTGCTCCATAGGGTTTTCAATGGCTGATTTTCCAGGAGTTGATTGCCAAGACTTTGTTCTGAGGCACTTCTGGGTAGGCTAGAATGTCCAACCTTTTGGTTAGCAGCCAAACATATTAAGATTAGCAGCAACAACAACAACAACAATTTTAGCAGTGGCAAAATCATACTCTCTTCTGCTGCCCATGGCAGACATGGCTAATCAATCATGACACTTTCCCAGTGAGCCTCAGAACTGCTCTCTACTCAGGAAAATTGATTTGCTATCCTGGATGTAAAAAGTAGCAGAAGTATGAACAGCCCTACATTACTTTACATTTTGTTATCCCTTGAACCAACCCCCTCTCATCCATGTCAGAATCCCTGGGTAGAAAAAGGGAGGTGCAGGGCAAGGGGCCATGCTATAATATGGAGCATAGCTCTTAAGAGCTGGAAGAGAATATAGAAGAGGATTTGGAATAGTTCTCTGCCATCCAGAATGTAAGGCATTCTTTCAAAGGCACAGAGGGTGATGGGCATAAATGAGTTAGAGCCTAGTTTTCTAGCTTCCTCGTGTCCAGCTCTACCACTAGGTTTACTAATTCTCAGTTGGGAGTTTTTGACTCCTCAAGCCTCATATCCTCACTAAAGCCCTCTGCCCCCTAGTGCTGACATCATCAGACCTTCAAATCCTGGAGGGCCTTGCAGTCCGGGGACACCAGGATCGCCAAGAGCCCCAGATGGGCCTGGGAGCCCATTGGGGCCATCTTTGCCAGAGATGCCAGGTAAACCTTTGGAACCTGCAAGGAGAGAAGGCGTACAGAGGGTGCTCAATGTGGAGAGGCCTGAGAAGCCCACTCCAGAGAAATGGGCCTTGAGTGTCATATAGATGCCTCACCAGGAGAGGGTAAACTGATTGTCAAGATTGGTGTGCAACTATTTACAATAGCCAAAAGATGGAAACAACCTAGGTGTCCATCAACTGAGGAATGGATATCCAAACTATGGTACGTACACACAATGGAATACTATGCAAC